AATGGAAAGCTTTTAAGGGAACCCTTTACTAAAAGTTTGGCAGCACATAATAGCTGCAGAAGTCTCCTGCATCCTTCTAAGCAATGCATTTCTGCTCCACACTTCCTGCCTTATCTTGTAAAATAAGAGAAATATTAGGAATATGCTTTTCTCCTGCTATGAGATTTCTAGAATCGTAAAAATTCATCTAATTTCCATGAAGCATTTTAGAGACATTATTTACTCCAGACTCACAATATCCCTATGATGAAGTAGATAAGTAGTAGATTCCCATTTTACTGATGCATTAGCAGAAGACTAAGGACAACTTATCTGAGGTCACTTAGGGTGTGTCTACACAGCAAAGTTATTTCGGAATAATGGCCGTTATTCTGAATTCACTTTGTGAGCGTCTACACAGCAATTCCACTATTTCAAAATAACAGACGGCTTATTCCAGCTTCTGTAAACCTCATTCTATGAAGAATAATGCCTATTCCAAAATAGATATTTCGCAGGGAAAAGCTGCTTTTTCCAAATAGGGGGCCTCCAGCCCTTCCCAGGATGCTCTGCTGGCCATTCTGTCCACAAACTCACTTGGCCCCTAAAATGAGCCAGTCTGCTGCTCCTACCCAGTGTTCCACTGCTGCCAGGGAGCAGTCAGATAGCTCCCAGGAGCCTGCTAATGGTCACAAAAGACGCATGCCTTCCTCGTCTGATGCGAAGATTCTGGACCTTATTGAGCTTTGGGGTGACAGGAACAACCTCCTGGATCTCTGCACCAGACGAAAGAATGCGGACATCTATGGCCAGATGGCTAACAGCCTGGCCAACAACAGGCACATCCATACCCAAGAGCAGGTGCAGATGAAGGTGAAAGAGTTCTGCCAGGCATATGCCAAGGACAGAGAGGGCAACGCTTGCTCTGGGGCAGACCCCACACCTGTTCTTATTTCAAGGATTTGGACTGCATCCTGGGGCATGGGACAGTCCCCCTGGTTATAGACTCTGGGTTTGAGACACCTGTCGTCATCCTCACAGGGGTGAGGGGAAAGAGATGAGGAGGTGGAGGAGGAGCAGGAGCAGGAGCAGGAGCAGGAGCCAGATGAGGCCGGCATCAACACCCAGCTGACCCAGGAGCCAGAACCCCTCCCTGTGGACATGTTCCAGGCATCATCTGAATCTGGGGAAGGAACATCATGTGAGTGGCATCACTTTCCTTTCACACAGGGGGTGGAGAGGATGGGTAGCGGGGGGTAGCTGGGCACTCCTCATTTGGCCCTTGCTGCCTGGGGATCACGCAGCAGCCTGTGCACATGGGAGCATGTGTTGTGCCGCTCCTGGCCACATAGCCCCAGGAGGGTGCCACAGAGGACCCTTGTGCTATTGGCCACATGGTGTCTGGAGAGGCCTGCCATACTCCTGACCTCGGGGTGGGACTCCCTTCTGGGCGGGACACCCTTCTTCCACAAGCCAGCTCTAGAAGAAGGCTGGGGAAATACACACGCACACATACACACTCAGCAGTCCTGCACACAGCACATGAGCATGTCCACACTCTTGGGGCAGCACCCACTCCCGGGGACATCTGGGCTCACTGGCCATAGCGCACATGGCCTTGCTCCAAGCACATCTCCTTTGATTATGCTGAGAATTGTTGCTCTTGGCTCACAGATGAGGACAAGGCTTCAGGCACAGTGTCCCCTGGGATGACTGACCATCTCTCTCTATTCTCCACATTCAGACCAGCGTCGAGAAGGGGGACAGTCAACACCACCCGGGACAGCCTCCTGGACCCAAGGCATCCGCAGGTGGCACCGACCCATGGATGAGTTCCAGAGGCAGCATCTGGCAGCTTTCCAATCCCTGGAGCAGACCATCGACCGCAGGCTCTAAGAGGATATCCAGCTGCGACATGAGACCTGGCTGGTGCAGGGCCTCTCCCTGTGCATGGATGTGCACTCCCTCATAGTGAGCGTGATGCCTGCTCCTGCTCCCACTCCTGCTGTTGCTCCTTCTCCCACTCCCACTCCCACTTCTCCCTCAACATCTTCCCCATCCTCGTGGACGACGAGGCCCCTGCACCTACGGCAGTGGGATCAACAGAGCCAGGCGCCATCCCAGCCTCAGCCCTGAGTCTCTCTTCACCCCTCTTCCCCCTTCCAGATCCCTCCTCCAAGGTTTCCATCTCCCCCCCCCTCAACTTTTCCCTCTCTCCTCCCCTCTCTCAGGTTCTTTCTCCAGTTTCTCCCCAGTGTCTTTGACCCCACCAAAAAAATACAGAGTTTTTAGTTTTTCAAAAACAATGTGTCGTTTATTTTATCACTAGGAAAAGGGAGAAGGGAGGGGCTACTGGAGGAAAGACAGTGAGGGATGAAGCAGAAGCCCCTAGTGGGGCAGACCACGAGAGAGTGTCACTGGTCCCCCGGGGAAAAGCTCTCCCTCAGGGCCTCAGGCATAGGCAAAGAAGCGGGGATTTAAATAATCCCTGCTTTGTTAAAATAAACATGGCTGCTGTGCTGTGCCGATGATCAGCTGATCCGGCACAGCGGGGCAGTCTAGACGTGCCGCAGTCGACAAGGGAAGCCTCTGTCGACCGCTCCGGTAAACCTCAATGGAGCCATGTAGTCTAGACATAGCCACATTGTGCCATATACAACATGCAGCCACCACATGGTGACCTCCCCAAGGTCCAGACGGGTGAGGAGGCATCTGAAGCACACCTTCAAATGGCTGAAGGCACCCTCTACGATCATGCGGGCCCTGCTGAGCCTGGCATTGTACCGTTCATAAGAGGGGTTGAGATGGCTGGTGTATGGCTTCATGAGCCAAGGCTGGAGGGGATAGGCTGCATCCCCCACCAGGCAGACAGGCATCTCCACATCCCCCAACCCTGATGGTGCGGTCAGGGAAGAAAGTTCCAGCGTGCAGCTTATGGAACATTCCAGAGTTCCTAAATACACGTGTGCCGTGTGCCTTCCCTGATCACCTGACATATATGTTGGTGAACTGGCCCTGGTGGTCAGTCATGGTCTGCAGGACCACTGAAAAATATCTCTTGTGGCTGTTGTAAAGAGATGCTAGGTAGTTGGGGGACCAGATGGGAGGGGGCTTGCACCACTCCCACCCGCCCTTTTCCATTCCTGCAGTCCACCCCCTCTCCTGGGACAATAGCCCAAGAATACCATACCTGCATGATCAGGGCCCTGACAGTAGATTTCCCCATGCTGAACTTGTTCCCCATGGATCGGTAGCTGTCCGGCATGGAGAGCTTCCAGAGGGCTATGGCGACACACTTCAAGTGCGTGTTCTGTTGCCTGAGAGCAGGGGCAGGCCACTCACAGAACTCCATGAAGGTGTCTTTCCTCATTCTAAAGTTCTGAAGCCATTGCTGGTCTCCCCACTGCTCCAAAACAATCCGGTCCCACCAGTCTGCACTGGTGTTCAGACGCCAGAGGTGGCAGGACCCACTGTCCAGGGGAGGGCGGACAGGCTCCAGCTGCAGGAGCTGCACCCACAGAGAGCCAAGGAGGGTCTCCCAGAAGGGCTGGGGATTGGGTTACTGCAGAGCCTGGGAGTCTGCATGCAGAAAGTGCTGTATAACTTTCAGCAAAAGCTGCAAGAACTGAGGACTGCTTGGAGGCAGCTCCAGCCCCATAGCAGAGAGTGCTGTGGTGTCCAAAAGCAGGGCAACCAGAGCACAAAGAAGGTGTGTCCAGACTACATGGCTCCGTCGATGGAGCCATGTAAAGTAGTTTACTCGACATAGTCAATGAAGCAGGGATTTAAATAACCCCGCTTCATTAAAATAAAAATGGCCGTTGCGCTGTGCCGACAATCAGCTGATCTGGCACAGTGCGGCAGTCTAGACGCAGATCGGTTGACAAGGGAAGCCTTTGTTGACCGCTCCTGTAAGCCTCATAACAAATTTCAGTATCCCTTTTAATGTTCTTTAAAAATAAGAGGCAGTTTCTACACGTGGAAACTTGCTAATTCCTTAGGGTAAAGTAAATTCTGTTTAAGTTTTTTATTTAAAAAATATCAGAAATAACAGTCTGTATTAAAGGCCCAGATTGACAAACAATAACTGCTACAGAGCACAGGGCCTGCTACTGTGAGCAGTCCAGCTAGGAGTGCCAGCCACTTGCCCAGATATTTTCAAGATCATCCTTTTTTAAGGTCAGAGTGCTGAGAAATCTCTAAAGATGCCTGTCAGCTATCCAGTTTTATGGGCTGAGGATCATCCCAGATGACCTCATTGTTTGTACTGCAAAGGTGGCAACTCTATGTTCAATATTAGTAAATGTTTGGAGGATTGGATTCTATAACAATTTCATGACATTTTTACCTCAAAAGGCATTTTAAGCATGCATTAATGCCCGTGTACACAGAGCTTCTCATCTTATTGGATAATTAATCAGTGGCACTTTGGCAGTGCCTTTTTTCATGCTGTGCTTCCTTTTAGATGGTAGTCAGATGGTGTATGGCTGTATCAATTTATCAGGAAAGTCAAAAGACAATAAAGTTTAATTTCCTGATTCTCCTGGGATACAGTGGGTCTTTTTAACAATGATTCTCCAGTGAAGGAGAAATTAAAAAACAGCATGATCAACATATTACATAATATTTCATGGGTAGGGTAAAGTACCAGGTTTAAAGACTAATCATTAACAAGACTGTAGTATTACTGAGCAGAACCTTTTGTCAAAAGTGTCTAAAGCCAGTAACAAAAGTAGAATTAGACAAAGCATCATATTCATTGTACAATTCTTATGGGGCCAGTCTATATATGTAGATTTAATTTTCTGCCTTACTTAGCTAACTGTTGTTTGAAACTAAATTTCTAAGAACTAATATACATTTCTTGTTTGGTTATCTTAAAATATGTTGTAGCTGGTAAAAGTTACATAACATAAGAGGGCAAATAGCTGTGCATACCACAGTTCTAAGTAGTAAGGAAAGTGCTTGATTTGGATCTCACACCAGTTGTATGTTAATGTAACTCTATTTTTGTGAATGGAGTTAGTCCAGGTTTCATTGGTGTAAATCCAGACCAGAATCAGGTCATAGGAATGCAAGTAAATTGATTCAGACATGGAATAAGAGACTTACAGACTTTAAGGTGTTTTTAAATTTACTTTTCATTATGTTACACAGTTCAAAATATTTGTCTTGATATAGCTCTGTAACTTGGACCCATCTACTTACCTGAATCAGAATGAGAAAATCGTATAAAGAAAATTATTTTAACAGATTTAGCTATGAATTTAGTTCTAATTCAACATTCACTTATGTTTTTATCTCCAAGTTTTGTATGTGTGCTAACCATGGGAATGAATGGGATCATGTGTGTAATGATTTTTGGAGAAAGCAATGGACAGTAAATCCTATTTCAGTGTTTGCTTGATTTTTTGTTTTGCATATTGGTTAAAGGTGCTGCAGTGTGCCTTATATTACAAATTAGAGCCTTTCTAAAGTATCTAAATTCCCTATTTTAAGTCAAAGGTTAAGTAAATATATGTGAAATTTGGAATTCTTACTAAGCATTATTTTCCTTTTCACAAACAAGCAAGAAAACTAGAGAGGCTTCGTTGCTTTAATTCTGGTGTTGTACTTTTTTATTAAAAAAACAGTTTATGCATATTTGTCAGCTATATGATCCCCTCTAACAGAGAAATGTGCAGTAGGGACACACATACCATGAAGGTAGGTTTTCATATTAGCATCTAAGCATTGATCCTGCACCTTGGCCCATCTGAGAAGACACTCCCATTACTGAAGTGAATTGGGCTCCACATGTCCTATCCATTCCAATTCAATTACAGAATGAGGCTCTTTGTTAGCTGGGTAACTCCATGAGGGTGTATCTACACTGCAGCACTAGCTCAAAATAAGCTACACAATTTGAGTTATGCAAATTGCATACCTTATTTTGAGCTTATTTCAAGATAGTCTGTTTTGAAATTTGATGCTGTCTACAATAGGCCACTATTCCGACAAGTCCCTTAATCCTCATGGAATGAGATTTACTGGGATGTTGGAATATTGTGCCTGTCATGTTGATTACATTTTGAAATAACAGGCGCGCTGTCAAGATGAGGAAAATGCTATTTCAGGATACTGGATGTATCTGAGGAAATAAGCCCCCTCCCCCCCTCCAGAAAAAAAGAAAAGAAGAAGAAAAGAGGATCAAAAGAATAAGGTGAACCGTGCCAAGATCTCAGGTAATTAAGTCCCTCAGGTGGAAGGGAGTTTTAGGGAAGTAAAGACAGTAAGAGCCACAAAGCCTCCTACCTTGAGGAGTCAAAAAATCTACACAGAAGGCAAACCCCAGTTCTCAGATATGAAGCATCTGTGTAAGAACTAGGGTCCTTGCTGTTCTATTGGCTCTGCCTTTCCTGTCCTGATAGTATAACTCTATATTGGCCGATTCCCTAGCCAGCTGTGTAGAGTTAGTGCAGCATTAATTCCTGAGCAGATATCTAAGTGGGTATTCATGGGGTGTAATGCAGCAGACTGGCATTCTACCCCTTTCCTGCCAATGGCTCCACCTGAAAGTACCACAAAAGAGAGATCCTGCTGAGATATGGCAAGGAGACACCCACTTCCTCCTTTGCCACCAGCATCAGGGTCACCCTCCATGGTGGAGAGGCTGATGATATTCTACCTCATTGCCTCATGATATAATCTAGCACTATCAAATTCTACTAAAAGCTAGTTGTTTCTACTGCTGAGCTAAATCACAGTCTCTGCAGCTGAATTATCCAGTTTATTTTTCATCTTGTTCTTACATTTCAAAATGTCTAGACTCTGATCTCATTGCCAAAGTATAAAGATTTAGGGCCAGATCCCAAGAGTATTTAGGCTCCTAATTTCCATTGATTTCAACAGTTCCAAACTCATTCACCATTATGTGGTCTATGTGCTTGTAATTACAATGTGAAAGAATTTGTCACAACTACTGGTGTTCTCCACAATATTCTACCCCTATATCAAGCTTATCTTAACATATTTGCTCTTCATAAAAAGTACAAAGAATGTAAAAAAATGTACTTGTGAAAACCTTTGCTAATGAAAACTTCCATCATGTTTTCCTAAACAGCTTCACTCCAGAGCTAACATGCTGATATAATATAAAAATTCAATAACTTGTAAAACCAGCTATATTTTACTATTTCCCCCTGTAGGTTTTTTTGCAATATGTTTCTAGAAATATTTTATGCACTCTGACACAAAACAATATCTACAGCAGTAATAATAAATTAGATGCAGTGGGAATTTAAGCTTGTTCTTGTGTTCAAGATGATATAGTGGAAATCATTATAATGAAGAAAAAGTCATTATTATTCAGCATTTTATATTAAACATGCCCCCAAATTATCATGAGTATACAACAGAATGTTTCTAAGGCTTTGTTACAGCCATGGTCTAGTAAAATCCATGTGAATAGCCCCATATTTGCATAATGGAGATTTCTAAGAATACAAACCTTTCATATTTTAAGCTCTGACAAGCCTTGCTCTTTCTCTACATATCTGTCATAGTTTTATCATGAATCAAAAATACCCCAGAATCTCTAACTTGCATAATCAAGCTCTTTCTGATTCCAGTATGTAAATATACTACATATTGATGATTTTTTTTGAAGTCTCAAGTTGTTTTGTTCTCTTTTCTCTCAGCAGTCCCTAAGCCTTTTAATTTTAATATTTCATGCACTGCTGCACAAACAATATAAACATAAGATCATGTGTCAAATAACAAGCTAAAATATATTTGTTAGATGGTTCACTTAATAGATTTTTTTTGTGACTAACTTTAAAGACAGGCTATGTGTTCCGAAAGGCCAATAACAAATAGATCACAAAGGCCCAAATCCTGCAACTGGCAAAGAGATTGCTGCACTTATGTGCATACTATCAACTGGAGGATCAAGGCCACACTGGGGCTCTAGGCTCCCAATACCAGCAGTTGGTTGATCATTTGATCATCAACTGCATGCATGGTGCTAATCACAAATGCCTGTTAAATTGTAAGATAATGAAGCTAATACTCAACCAGGAAGACACAGTTTGGTCCTTGATACATCCAAATAAGTGAACTTACGTTCATTAGTTGCCTAAGCAGGGGCAATGTTCAAATGGGATATGGATTAATTATTCTACAAAGGTCAAGAGATGGTTTTCCATTACATAAAGTAAAAAATAAATCAGATTAATTATTATTGCAATATATCATAGGATTAAACTCTCTTAAATGGGATTCTCTAGTCTGGTAACATCCATGGTCCGGCATGGATGTTGCAGGACCAGAGAGTCCCGGTGGAGTGCCAGCAGCACTGATCCCTACGGGGCTGGCAGGGAAGTGAGCTGCCTGTAGCGAGCTGATGGTAAGGCCACCGAGCATGTGGTAGCGGGGCTACCCAGTGGGGCTGAGAGCCACGGTAGCTTGGTGGGGCAGGGAGCTGCAGCACGTGGGGCTGCCCTGTGGGACCCAAAGCCCCAGCACGCAGCTGCCGTGCAGGTCCTAGAGCGCCAGCGTGGCACATACGGCTGCCCTGTGGGTTCCAGAGCCCCCGCAGGTGGGCACGGCTGCAGGATGGGTCCTGGAGCCATGGCAGCAATGGCTGCCCAGTGGGGTCAGCAGGGCCAGCAGGAGGTGGGGAACCAGCTGGGAGGGCCAGGGGTCCACAAATGACTTCCCCGGTCTGGCAAAATCCCTCATCCAGAACCGGTCAGGTCCCCAGGGTACCGTCCCAGGGAGGTCCAACCTGTCCTGTATTACGTATTCTTAGACTGGCCACAATTCACACACAATATGCTATTGGTACTACAGAAGACATATTATTGGTTTCCTAGAACATACCCCCTTTTTATTCTAGTGTATCTTTCCATCCATCATGGTGCCTCTGAAAAAGAAACAAAACAAAGTAAACCCTAAAAATCAACGTTGTAATAGTTCATATTAGCAGCAGATGATTTCATACCCAATGGTAATAATTATGCTTGCTGGGTGTGAGAGAAATCACTCCCTAGGCCTGATATGGGCCTTTGTATACAAATGCATGGTTTAGGTGTGAAATACAAAGGTGATAATGGGAGGGGGAATATATGGCACAGCTACCCTTATTGCTCAAAAGGCAAAAAACTGAGGTCTGATCCTTCAGAGTGCCAAGTATCCATAACCCAAAGGTGAGTCTGTTACAGGTCCTCCTCTGGACTTGGACAGCAAAGGACATGAGCCTCTTACATAGGATGACCATCCATCCCATTTTTAACTGGACAGTCCCATATTTTGGCCCTCTTACAGCTGTCCTGACTTTTTTTTTAAGGGTGAATTGTTCCGTATGTTCAGCTGCAGCGCTCCCCTTTCTGATCAGTCATCATCAGCCTAGCCACAGCAGCCTCCTGTTTGTGACTGGCAGGTGAATGCGACAGGTGGTGGCCAGCAGGTGGTGCTCTCAAGCAGGGTTCAGAGGCCGGTAGGAAGAGAGGCAGCCTGTATGTGATAGAAGGGTAAGAGTATTGGGTTGAGTGAGGGGTGTGTGCCACCCCTGCCCATGGGCACCCTAAAGCAATTTCAAAAGGGGGGTGTCTGCCAGCCCTTTCCCCGGCACCCACTGTGGGGCTTGAAATCTTGATCCCTGGTGGTCCCTCCCATACTGAATTCCCAGCACCTTGAGCTGAAGCCCTGTGGGGCACTCTCTGAATTTCCAGTACCACATAGGCTGAAAACCTGATCCTCAGCACACCTCTCCCCACTGGGCAGCAGCCCCAATCCCTCACATGCCCCCTACCACAAGGGCTGAAGCCACAAGCCCTGGCAACCCTGCAGGGCTGAAAATAGGAGCTGAGGGGCTGAAGTCCCTATCCCCCCATGAACAAAGCTGAATATGGGAGTGCCAGGACTGAATCCTGTATTCCCATTGCTCCCTATGCAGCAGAAGCCCCTGAGCCCTTGGCAGAACTGGGCAGCACTGGGGATGTTTGCACCCCTCCCCAGTAAACTTCAGTGCAAGTGCAGGGCAGCCCCAGGGACAGACTCACTATTCCTCTCTTCCCATCCCCTGGCCAGTTTGGAGGCAGGAAGCTGGAGCCGGGCAGGGTGGAACAGATGTTCTTCTGGCTGGTGCCATGGCTCAGGCAGTGGTGCTGTTCCCTCCTCTCCTGCCACTGATGCTGGTGCAAGAGATTGAAACTGCCCCTCAGCAACCAGCCCCCTTTACTCACACAGATGAAAAGAGCTGCAGGGGTGAGGGGCCTGGCTCCATGTCTGGCAGAGCCCTCAAGGAACAGGAGAACCACAAAGCCCTCCTGGCACACAGCCTGTAGATACTCCTTCTATGCACCCTGAGGTACCCTCCAGAGCTGCACACAGTCCTGAGCTTCTCCAGGACATCACACCCCCTGGTTACCTCCTCCCTGCCCCCTGAGCTAACCCTGGGCCACAGACAGTCCCTAGTGCTCCCTCTGATGGGGTAAACACAAATATTATTACGTTTTCTTTTCTACAATGTGAAATATCTGACAAGCAGTGAGGATTATTTCTGTATCAATTGATTGAGAACCATTCTCTTAGGATACATCTACACAGAAGTGAGGATTATTTCTGTATCAATTGATTGAGAACCATTCTCTTAGGATACAGCTACACAGAAGCATAGTGCACATCTATACTAACATAGTGCACATCTATACTACAAGCCTTTATTTTGAAATAATGTCGCACTGGAGGACTTTTTACTCCTACTCACAGTAATCCTCATTTCATGAGGAGTAAGAGAAGTCGAAGGAAGAGTGTTCTTCCTTTGACTTCCTGCGGTATAGACAGCGCCAAAGGCCAAATTAAGCTATTTCAGCTTAATCTATGCAATTGATGTGGCTGGAGTTGTGTAGCTTAATTAGACTTTAGTCCTGCTGTGTAGACATTCTCTTAGTGAAAAAGCTTGTTGGGCTGTGTGCAGAGAATACCAGTACAAATTCTGGTGGTGCTAAACATGCTGGGAAAAACAACATATGGTGAAAACTGCAAGTCAAAGTAAGGGAAGAATCTTTGGTTTTGGTTGTGGTGCTCACATTGCTCATAACTGCTGCAAACAACAGCTGTCAGTCTTCCAGTTGTTTTGGAGTCCTTTAATGTGAAAGTTTATGAATACTTTCACATTTACACCATTCCTGTTGAAGAACTGAAAGACTTCTCCCAATTTGTTGATCTTGAGAATTTTAAATTGATAGAGAATGGCAGCACACGATTTCTTTCCCTTGGACCAGTGCTAGACAGAATATTGTTGATTTTTGATGGGCACAAGGCATATTTTCTCTGTCAAAACACATGCCCAGCACTGTTCAAGAAAGTCTTCAGTGACCCTTGCACAAAACTGGGGCTTCCTTTGGCCAGTAAGCTAGCAGCCACCTTGCCAAAGATTTTAGAGGCTATCGAGAGAAATGACTCATAGGTGACAAAAGTTGCACTGCACATTCATACCCTTCAAAATAGTTTAGCATGAGGCTCCGATTTGTCACACACACAGACCCTGCTGCAGTCTTTGGTTGAGGGTGGGGAAATTAAGGAATAGAAATTTTACAATGCAGTAAAGAATGTTTTTTCAACATCTCTGAAGTACTTGGAACACTGGAAACCTGTCTTTGAGTGCACAGAAAAGCTTGAATGGATCCTGTTGAGAAGCATGCTGGTGTGAGATAATGTACCAAGCAGTCTTGCCTTTGCAACACAACAATTCCCAACCTAAGGTTGATAGATGAGAATCATCTTTTTGATGAACAGACAAATGCAAAACCAATAATATCCTGTCACATGTTCCCCACAGTGTCTCCTGGGGTAGTACAGGCCAGACCATGGTTCCCAGCACTCCTGGTGTCTCCAGCATGGGGGGGCAGGGCCAAGCAATGGTTTCCAGTGCCCAGGCAGGTCTGGGAGTACAGGGCCGGGACCAGGTCAGGATTCCCAGTTTCCCTGGCCTCTCCTCCTGCAGGAATCAGGACCAGGCTGGTGTATCTGGCCACCCCAGTGTTCCCTGGTGTGGGAGCTGGGGCAGAACTGTATGGCCTTGGTTGTGGTACAAGGGCTGAGGGTCAGGGACTAATGAATTCCTTTCAGTGAAGCCAGAAAGACGTCAGATTTGCATGGTGCCCAGGGAACTTTGGGATTACATCGAGTCTCATCTAGAGCTGGGGTTTGGAGCAATAGGGCCATTTTCCCAGTCCATTGCCCAGGAAGATGGTGAGCTCCCCCCCTTTCATGTTGTGGAAAACAATCACATTGCTGCTGTGGCTGTCCCCAGGGATCACTCCACAGTATATCTCTCCGCCAATCACCCCCCCCCTTTCATGTTGTGGAAAACAATCACATTGTAGGCACATCCCCTTTTCCTGGCACAACCAAACTATGACCTTGCTTTAACTTAGGAGAGGAGAAGCTGCATACCAAATCTGGTGGTCCCAGTTCTTACCGTTTAGGAGGAGTTCTTGAACAAACAGACTCACAGACAGACACATTTTTAAAAAATATATATAGACAATAGTGCAGTATGTCTTTTTAATGGGGGCTCAGTCAACTTAATGCAAGTTTGAACATTTAAACTGCATAGTTCTGATTGATTGCCATTGAACTCACTTCAATCAGAGCATTTTTACCAGGTGTCCCATGTTTGGCATAGGACAATATGGTCACCCTACTATGCTTACAGCTCCACTTAGCCCGTTGGTTTTTAGTTCAAGCTGTAGCAACTGATACTTTTAGATACTTTTAAAGAACTGATACTTTTAGAGGTTGCTGGTTTAGTCTCTGATCTGTCAGCTAAGATAGTGACTTTCATGCAACCTTAATTCCCATTGAAAGATTGGGCATTTAAGGAATGAAAACTGACAGCACTAATTCAACAGGTGATGAACACACTTAATACATGAAAAATGCCAAAGAGAAGGTGTTGGCTTTAAAATTCACTCTGTTCAGGCTAATGTTTATGACCCCTGAAAATTCAGGTTTGCAAAGAATGAAGCTGCTTGCATTAGAGGTCCACTACATAGGTTAGAACCTCTGCTAGTCTTATTACAATCATACGGGTTTCCACCAGAATTTGGCCCTCCCATGTTTCTGTGTATGCAGCTTCTGCAGCGCCTCCCCCACTGTCTTCCCATATCTAATACTGTCATTGAGGTTCGTATTAACTCTCATCACTGTAAGACACGTTATAAAAATCTTATATGAATGTTATAGGGTCTGGATAGTTCAATGGTTTGATAATAGGATATGGAGTCCTTTTCACCTTTCCAGCACTGGTGGGGATCCAAAAGCCATTATCCTGTTCAATAGTGCAGGTACAAGCTATGATTTATGTTCCTTATGTATTTATTACTTGTGTTACAGAGTCCAAAATCAGGATCAAGGAGACATTGTGGTAAGTCAGCATCAATATAGTGTCAAAATGAGTCACTAATAACCTCTACCCATAATCCTAGTTTTTACATACACTTCAGATGTTTTGTGTGTATTTACTACAAAGGCAAAGATCACACTCATGCAGCAATTAAAGTAGAGGAGGGGGAAGTCTCACAAGTCAGGGAGAGAAATGGGGAGTTTCTGATTAGCACAAATTTAAATTAATGGAGATTGCCTATCTCCTAGAATGGACAAGGTCATGGAGTCCAGTCTCCTGCTTTCACAGCAAGACCAAGTACCATCCCTGACAAATATTTGCCTCAAGTGGCCTCTGCAAGGATTGAACTCACAATGCTGGCTTTAGTAGGCTAATGCTCCAACCACTAAGCTATGCCTCTGCAAGGATTGAACTTACAATGCTGGCTTTAGTAGGCCAATGCTCCAACCACTAAGCTATACCTCCCCCCGGGAAAGGCAAATGCACTTTCTACCACTGGCACTTAGATTAATTCCTTTTCTGCTGTTTTAGCCAATTCTCCTCCCTTCATCACACAGCTGTTGGGTAGGGGTGGTGTGTGCCTGTTGGTTGTTTCATTGGGATCTTTCAGACTATAGCTTGACTAAATGTTCAGAACTGTCCCAGATTGTGTAGCACACTAAGACAAAGAATATATTTAGTACAATTAAGTTAGGTGCTCTCATAATATTGTGCTCTGTGTATGTGTGTAGGCTGCTGGCCTGTGACCCACCCTAGTCCAGGAAGGACTTGAGGCCATGTCCATTGTCTGTCCAAGCCTTTCCTTCATGCCCTTTCAAGTCAAGTTATTTTCCTGCCCAAAGCAGGCTGCAGCAATTTTTTCTCCTTACATCCTTCCCTCCCATCCAATATCAGCAACCTTGTTGGGTGTAAGTGTCCTCTTCCACTGAGCTCTCAGCCCTTTTTAAGAATCAGATGACCCTTTCAAAGCTGGATCTGGTAATTTAGGAGGACAGTCCACCCTGTTATAAAGCTTCATGCAGTATTTGCTATGCAAGCCTTTTAATTATATTTTTTCCTGTGCACATCTAGGCTACGTCTAGACTACATCCCTTTTTCGGAAAAGGGATGTAAATTAGACGTATCGTAATTGCTAATGAAGCGGGGATTTAAATCTCCCCCGCTTCATTAGCATAAAAATGGCTGCCGCTTTTTTTTGGCACGGAGTTTTGCCGGAGAAAAACGCCAGTCTAGATGCCGATCTTTCGAAAAATAAAGCCTTTTCCGAAAGATCCCTTATCCCTTATTTCAAGAGGGATAAGGGATCTTTCGGAAAAGGCTTTATTTTTCGAAAGATCGGCATCTAGACTGGCGTTTTTCTCCGGCAAAACTCCGTGCTGAAAAAAAGCGGCAGCCATTTTTATGCTAATGAAGCGGGGGAGATTTAAATCCCCGCTTCATTAGCAATTGCGATACGTCTAATTTACATCCCTTTTCCGAAAAAGGGATGTAGTCTAGACGTAGCCCTAATGTATACTGTAGTTAAAGAAAACTGATTCAGTTGTTAGCAGTTTTACTGAGGATGCATTATGAGAGTGTCAGATCAAGATCAAAGTATATTGGCAGAAGAGTGTAAAAGCTTATGACCTGAGTCTGGCCAGAGGCCTGAGTCTGATCTCTCACTCTGATGTAAATCAAGAATAGGTCCACTACAATCCAAAATATGGCTCAGATTAATGCTGTGAATTTCAGTAATTTGAATCACAATTTTTTTAAAAAATGGGCTGGAACAGAGTAAATCTAATTAATAACCACTGTTCATACAGACTTCAAAATGCATAAATTGCAGAAATACATACTAAGTACACAGATACATGAGAAATGATATTATCAGGGAGCAAAGGAGATAAGATTAAAACATTCTATGAACGTCAAGTTTAAATAAACAGAAGGAAGAATAACGTTCACTAGCGGAAAAGATAGTCTGCTATTAAATTACACTTTATATTTATTTATAATTATTAATTTCCAAATACGTGTGCCAAAATACAAGATTCATCATAATACAGGAAGTCCCCAATTTACAAATGGGTTGTGTTCCAAAAGTTCATTTGTAAGTTGATTGTTTGGAACTCAGAAAGTATTTTCCCATAGAAAGAATAATGTTATAATAGTAGTTAAGTTCCCATGCTAGCCCACTAAAGACTATTTAACCAATAATGCAGCTGAAATACTGCATATTTGCAATGAAAAATATTAGAAATAGTTTTTGTATTTAACCTTGAAGGCTAGTGCTTGAGGAAAGGCAGGTTTAATTAGAGGAGAATGAGAAGATAGGTGGAGATTCTGAAGGGGATTTCTGGGCATCCCCCGGTTGCTACCCCTTCCTCTATGGGCTCTGCGCTGGCTCCTGAGGCCAGTCACATCCCCTAGCCACCCCCCTCTTTGGCCTGCACCCAGCTGCCACTCACCAACATGCATCAAGAGATGTGAGTGTGGATTGGAGGACTCCAAAGGATCAGGAGTAGCTGTGCAGTTGGAAAAAAGAAAGGTTTCCCCTTCAAAGTGCCGCTTCTCTCCAGACTGACTACATGACTGCCCCCTGCTCCTCCAGCACTTGTACTGTTAGCCACTATCTGTGGCTCTTGCCTTCTCCATGAGGCTGTAGGTGAGCTTTTATTTGTATGTGAGGATGTTGGTAAGTCGGATGTTTGTAACTTGGGGAGTGCCTGTACACAAAAAATAAAGTTTAGTATAAAGGAAGGGGAGAGAAAGGAACATGCCAATCTTCAGGCTTTACATTAATCACGGGCCTCTAAAAAGTCACAATTTCTTTGAATTTTGAGGGCATTCTCTTTCTGCAGAATGCCAGTCATTCCCTCGCTGCAAGGTCAGCCATATCACGGAACCAGACATCAGTGTTTGGTGGGAAATGACTTTTCCATTTTCACAGGATTAATTTTTGTGTGTGGCCAAGACTGCATATTGGAACCACACTGCCTTGTGACCAGGCAATCTCCAAATATATCCAAGAATGAAACTTAAAGAGGAGGGCTCCAATTTAGCATTCAATATCAGATTGGTTTTTTCTGCCTGCTTCATACCAGAAATTATTGATACAGGGGCACTCAGCAACCTTAAGCAAGGTAGCACCAAGAGAGTTATATTTCCAACAGCCACTAGCATTTATGAAGTCTATGACCATTATCCTATGTGGGCATAAGTATATTTAAAGTATCTTTAGGTGAATAAGCCTTAGTCTCAGGTTTAATGTTTAAAAAAACCTTAATCATATATACAGTTGTACTCCATTGGGTAAAAGATTCTTGTGTATCCCCCAAATTTCTATTCCAAGCAACTCTCAAATTATCAGTCTTTGGCTGATTTTTTTGGGCAATAAAGTCATAGGAGAATACTGCTGGTCAAGGATGCTCCTCCAAAATTGTAAAAGTTCTGGAGGTTCCAGAGCTCCCAATGCAGCCAATCCAAATAAATTAGCAACTAATGACTTGTCTACACTAGACCAGTTAGGTCATCTTAAGGTATGCCACTCTAGCTACACAAAATGAATAGCTGGAGTCAGCTTATCTAAAACTGATCTGCCGCTGCATCCGCATTGCAGAAGGCTGATGGGAGCACACACTCCCGTTGGCTTCCCTTGCAGAAGGAGGAGTACCAGTTGCCAATTTGGGGCTTGCCCCAGTGTTCAATTGTCTGGTCGATCTTCTCTCTAGTGTGGACATGTTCTCAGTGCTTTAACAGGAGATATTTCCATGCTCTGGAGCGGGGCAGGCCAGACTGTTCCAGAAGATCTACAGATGGTTTAAATGTATCATTGTCACTTAGTTGATATAGTGTCCATCCAAAGTTTTGACTCCAATTTTAAGGACAGGGCTGCTTCTGCATGGAAGAATGCATGGAAGCAGATCTTCAGCCATGTTTGACCAATACTGTCTCATAAATGTTATTGTGAGAGCTTGAGAGCCATCAAATCTATAATAATTTAATCCTACAGTTCCTGAAATGAGAAGAGAGTATACAAATTCTGATTTACTCTGAACCCAAGGTGGGCTACATGTGATCCACAGCTAGTTGAATAAATTTGATGTCCCCAAGGAAACCTCACATTTGCTAGTCAAATTATAAGCCATTCCAAAAGTGTAGCATTGCCTTTTGTGGCTCCATGTGATTCTTCTAATCACTGCAATTACCATCTCATGAGATCAATACCCTCTGAACTGATGTATTAATAACGTGAAAAGTTTAAGTCTGATATTGGTATTATACCATAAAACTATAGATTTGGCAGTTACCATAGATTAGGAAACACAGTTCCAGACAGATTATTTTGGTTTATCATAAGATTCAAAGTGTGTATACATGTGTATGTAGTGTGTGCAGCTCAGAGACAAATCATTCCTATTGTTCTCCACCACATGTCTACACATCATAATTCTAAAGAGGTAAATTGCTTCCCTGGAATACATTAAAATGCCAATGCAAGTTCCTGCTTTTCAGAAGATGAAGAGGTTACAAGAGAAACTGATGCATTATTTATATGCTTGTCCGTCAGAGCGAAGAGAGAAGAACCCTGATGATGATGGGTCACCTTATTGTAGAAAAGAGACTGCAGCTACAGGACTCTTGGCTGAGCAGCTTTGTCTCTCATGTCACTGCTGCTGCTCCACTCTCTGATAGGGAAGTTGGAAACCAAAGGAAATCCCCAGCCAGGCATTACCATCTCCTACTGCTTCCACTCCAGATCTTTCTGGAGGGTTTGTCTTCATCCTCACTACCCAGAAGGAAGTGGGGAGTACTGGTGAAAGACAGAAGAAGGGGAACTATATTCTCCTTGGATTTAATCCCTTGCTGCATATTGCAGGATTAAATTAAATCCAAAACCTTTTCCCCTACAATTTGGTAGTTACTGTACATTGCTGCTAGAATTTAAATGATGCCTTGAAATGAGCCATAATATGCTTTCTTCAACATTACTTGTTATAGCACACACCAGTATATACAATTAAAAATGTATACTCTTCTCCTCAGGCTTGGTGGTTGTTTCTTAATTTTACAGTCCAGCTTTCTAAAAAGCCCTCCGGCTGATGAATCATTGCTATGAATTAAAATGCCTGATTGTGACCACATGTGCCAAATCACAGCAGGAGGTGGGTTTTTTAATAGGGCGTTCCCAAAAATTTGGTTTACGTTTTAACAAGCAAAATAATTCTCTACAGATACTAGCTTCTCTGTGCACATTTGTGAAGCCCTACATTGAGTGAATTATTTTCAAGCCTTCACTAATTCTCTACAGATACTAGCTTCTCTGTGCACATTTTTGAAACCCTACATTGAGTGAATTATTTTTAAGCCTTCACAAAAAAAAAATCCTCCTCACAGCTGGCAAACTCAGACACACCATGAATGGAATGGAGACTGATCTAACCTTAGGATAGAACTCTGAAAGGTCTTTCCCATAAATCACATTGGGGCAGCAAGGGGAAAGTTCTATTGCTGTCACTTATACTGTGCTGTATCTGTTCCATGGGCTGGGAAAGGAGGCTGGAGTTGTCATGTTTATAGCAGGAGTCTTAGGAGGACTCGTGGATTTTATTTTCTATTCCTCTACTGACTTGCGGTAATCTTGGATAGGTCACAATCTCTGTGCATCAGTTCCCCATTTGTAAAATGGGATAGTGTTACTTTTCCTTTTTGAAGAAGTACCCGCACTTTCATGTTTACATAAGCCCAAACAACAGAGTAAGGGGGGGGGGGGAATCAAATAACTTCCCCAGAGTTACCATCAGACCTATTTGTTTTTGGCAGGGAAGGAAGATGTGGTTATCATTTGATATTTTATTATTACTCATGGGAGCTGCTCAGATACAGTGAGTAAGAACAGAGAGTGCAGGGGGGATGGTGACAGTGATTAATGTTTTTAAAGCACTTTGAAATCTTTGGCTGAAAAGATCTAAGTGCACAGTATTAATCATAAGCAAAGGATTTCTGTTTTCAGGACTATCAGTCTGGCACCTTCTATGACCATTACATTAAAGAGAAGAAAACAAGAGAACTATCCCACAGCCTGGTAAGATCAAAGACCATTGCAGAGTACTACAACCAGGGTGATCTTTTCTTCCAGGCAAGGGGGTTGTGAATTCCAGCATAAAGCCCCTCATGGGACTCCAGTGAAGCACACTCATTGGGTTTCTCTCTTAATATCACATATTGTCTATGTAGTTAAACCACTAAAATAATGCTTTGTAATTCTGTAATACTTTGTATGAAAATCTCAAAGTACTTTTGCAAACAATAATTAAGCTGCTCAACACCCCATAAAGTAATATTAACTCAGCTATTTGGTAGAAATGGGAACAGAACCCAGGAATTCCCATGCTTTTATCACCTCACCCTATTCTGAACAGTTCCATGACCTCTTTTGGAACAATTTTAATTAAGCTGTATGGAACTTTTTTCCATGTGCATCTCTCTGTAGTGCACACTGTGGTTTGTTTTAAATAAGCTCAGTGGTGAAGTCATTTAAGGAAATGAAGATATTTCATAGTGCCTTTTAAGCATTTGCATGTGTATATAGGACACCCTGCTGTTTGATTAAACTGAAATTTAAGAAAACTGTAAGAATCCAGTTTCACATACAGCACTTTACATTCACATTGCAAAGGTTGTCGGAGAAAAAATGATAATATCCTTGGAAGCACATGACTAATGAGAATATATATAGCACTTCTGAGACAGCTCAAATGTATAATTATTGTGAAGATTTCACAGACACATAAATATAATGATCTTCAGCTAAGCAAATTGCTAGCTACCAATGAAATAAATACTGTCCCTTCAGAATTTGAAATAATTTGGTACTGTAGGTGGTGGGAAATGATTCACCTTAGCTGTTATCTCTGGAACAGTAATATAGAAATATATCTGCCAGCACTGTTGCATTTACATTGTTCTTCATATCCTGTGGAGTTTGTCAGAAGATCTCTGGTCCCTGCTGATTTCCAATCCCTTATTTTGATAAGCCACAGAACAGCATGATTCAACAATGGGTTGGAGCAGCTAATATTGTTTACCACAGTAGGCATCACAGCCATAATATTTTCCAAGAAACACTGATGTGTTTAAAGGTCAGGTTGTTACTGATTTGACTGCTTAACATGAATTCATCTTTCTAGAAGTAAAATGGCGTACATGCCTTCTGATAAAGGTTAAACTATTTGTGCCTGGATTGGTGGAATACATAGACTCTCTCACAGCCTATTCTGGTCAGTCAAGGAATTTTAGTGCTTTATACTGTAATATTAGTTTTGAAACCACTGGCATTTTCTGCTGAAGAAATATTGAAAACTTGCTCACATAAGATGTCACAGGTACACACCAGAACCCATACTTGTCTCATAGACTTTAAGGTCAGAAGGGACCATTATGATCATCTAGTCTGACCCCCTGCACAGTGCAGGCCACAAAATCTCACCCACCCCTCCTAGAATAATCCTCTCACCTATATCTCACATATAGAAGCCTTCAAATACTTTGAAGACCCCAAGATGCAGAGAATCCTATAAAGTCATACTGCTAATTTAAATCTGCAGAGCATCTGGCCTATGAAATTCAAGTTTGAGCTCCTTTCTGAGCAGTCTGATATCTAGGGTTTCTTTCTTCCCTCCCTCTTGCCTCACAAAGTCTCTGAGGGTATGTCTACACTACCCCGCTAGTTCGAACTAGCGGGGTAATGTAGGCATACCGCACTTGCAAATGAAGCCCGGGATTTGAATTTCCTGGGCTTCATTTGCATAAGCCGGGC